TAGGTCCTCACCAGCCTCTTAGAGAGTCTAAGCTTGTCCCTTTCCAATTCATACTCTGTACTGCCAGGATGCTCTGTTTAAAATGCCAGTTTGATCATGTGACTTAAAACCCTTAAGTTCCTCTGCGGGGAAGTGGGTGAATGTTCTCTGTACCCCCAGCGTTGGTAATTTATTTGGACTATAATGTCATTTAAATGGATGCATATATAAAACTAGGTATAAATATGTATTTATGGCACATAAAACTACAAGAGCAATGTCAATTTACCAATTGAATAAAAACAAAACTATAAAATCAATACATTTTAAAAATAAAATGTTCATTTATTGCAACAGATGATTGCTGAAACCAATTGCCGCACAAACTGTGATAGCAGAATGAATCCCTCCAGCGGGGGTCCCTGGAGTTGGGCGGGGGCGTGTGATGACTCACTTCTCCCACTGCTTTTCTCTCTTAGAACTTCTGCTAACCCTGTGTTCACTCACCATGCTGGGAGGACATTTGGCCTCCTCTAGGGCACAAACGCATCATTTACATATTAAGTCCTCCTTTTGTTCTCTTCCCATTAGCTGAGACAATGAAAGCAGCACTACTTGGTGCCAAATCATCACACAGTGGCAAAGACAGACACTGAAATCATTTGACAATATAGGTGTTAGCGTAGGTAACTAAATGACAGACACTGAAATCATTTGACAATATAGGTGCTAGCGTAGGTAACTAAATATTAAAAAAGGAAGGGAGCGAATGGAACCAGACATTAAGAAGCCTCAATAAAGGAAGGGAGCAAATGGAACCAGACATTAAGAAGCCTCCTCTACTAGGGAACTACAGCTTCACACACTGCCCAGGAGATGGCAGAATGGCCCGAAAAAGGTGATTAACACCCCTCCCGCCCCATGTAGGGCCAAAGAACCAGTGCCAGCCCAGGAAGGCTTGGGGCTTTGATTGGTTAGTTTTGAAGAAGCACCTGATCCTTTCCCAAGACTGAGATAATATATTCAGCCTAACAGCCGGAGTTTCCACTCCATGGTGCAGTGGGGTGTAGTTCAGCATGCAAACTGATTAAAGTCCAGTAGTCTATGGGTAGAGCAGGGAGCATATCTCCTGCCACAGGAGCGTCAGGAACCCATGGGGGGGCGGGGAGGAAGAGAGAGAGAGAGAGAGAGAAGAGAGAAGAGGGAAGAGAGAAGAGAGGAGGTGTGTGCTTTTTAATCTACCTTCCTCTACTGAAAACATATATTCTATTTTCCATATGCGGTCATTTTGTCTTGTCCTGATTATTTTCTTGTAGTTTTGTAAAAAACCATAGCTCTTTTACAAATCAATTTTGGCAAGGGGACTTCTACAGCAGTCTGCATTTTTAAAAGACCTCTTCTTTTACCTTCAGTTTTTGTAGGCAATGTTTTAGTTCCTGTGTGTTTACATTTCAAAGACATGATAAGAGTTACAACTTTTAGAGACAAAGAAAGACCGTAAGTTTTTTGGCGTGATTTATTTGACAATGCTTCCTGTGTAATTTAAAATACCATATAGGCCTGGCCAGTGTGGTTTAGTGGTTGAACATCAGCCTATGAACCAGGAGGTCATGGCACATGCCAGGGTTTCCGGTTTGAATCCCAGCAGGGGATGTGCAGGAGGCAGCTGATCAAATGATTCTCTCCCTTTATTGATGTTTCTATCTCCCTCTCCCTTCCTCTCTGAAATCAATGAAAATAAAAAGTAAAATGTGTTTAAAATGCCAAATAGGCCTTTTATAAAGAGAATGAACAAATCTTTGTGGTGTTTTAAGGATCCTTCTGAGAAATTACAAAGTTCTTAAAAACCTCAAAGATCAAGAAAATGACTAATTTTGAATCTTGGGAAGTTTGTCAAACATATCAAAAGTTTTAAAAACTTTGTTCAAATGGTCATACGTCCTTGTGGAACTGAAACCAGAAAAGTCAGCATTCATGCTGCCTGTCACTACCAGGCCAATAAGGAGACAAGAAGTGAATCTTTATTCGGATGGCTGGTGACCTGAGAAGATGATGGGCTGTGTACCCTAAAGACCGTCTTACATCTCGTCTCAAGCTGATCCTTTTTATAAGGAGAAGAAAAGTGTAGGTAAAGGGGTTGGGATTTGGAAAAAGGGGTTTGAAATTTAGGGAAAAGGTTAATCAGATCAAAGCGATTTTCTTAACATCCCTTCATCTGCTGACCTGGCGTCTTTATCTGTGTCCCAGGCAGTGGCTGTTCTCTCCCTAGAGCACAATGGCTCAGATACCATCTTGACTGCTTATGGTTTTCCGGGGCCACAAAGGTCAAATTGCTGGTAGGTCTCCTGGAGTCAGCGTAGGTCTGGTCATACATTTCAGTTCCTGGGACAACAGCTTTCTACATGCATTCATTACCAAGCCTAATCAATTCCCAACGACAAACACAATAAAAGCAAAAGTGGCATTTATCCCAGAAATACAAGGCTACTTCCACAATGAACATCTACAATATCAACAGACTAAAGAAGGAAAATCATACTATCATCTCAATCAATCCAGAGAAAGAATTGATAAAATACAAACATTCTATCTAATAACGACAACAAAGCCTTTCAGCATACTAGGAATACAAGGGAATTTCCACAATCTGATAGAAAAGCATCTCTAAGTGATCTGCATAGGACGTCATATTTAATGCTGAAAATAGCATATACTTTCCTCCTAAGATCAGAAAGAAGACATGGATGTTTGCTCTTGTTGGCAACATTGCCCTGGAGTTCTAGCTATCACAATAAGACAGGAAAAGGAAATACATATTGGAAAGGAAGGAGAAAATTATCTTTTTCTCAGACAACATGATAAAAAAATGTGATGAAATCTACAAAATACCTACTGAATTAATAAGTGGGATTAGCAAAACTACAGGACAAGAATCAATATATAAAAATAATTGTATTTCTATGTCATACAAGCAATTAGAAATTGAAAAATTTAAAATACCATTCAGCAATAAATTGATATAATCATCAACATGGATGAATCTAAGTAAAAGTTATACAAGAAAGAATACATACTTTATTTCATTTATATAAAATTCTAAAATAGGCAAACTAAGCTATAGGAACAAAAAGCAGATCAGTGATTGCCCAGGGAGAAGGAGTGAGAGGGAAGAATTAGAAAGGAGCAAAATTAAGTTTTGAGGTACTAAATAAATTCTTTATCTTGATTGGATTGTGATGATTGTTTCATGTATGTGTAAGTGTCAAAACTTATACATATTGTATCAAGTTGTACATATTAACTATGTGTAAGTTATTGTATGTCAATTTTTTTTAATTTTAAAGGACTTTTTTTCAGTTTTTAAAGCAGGCTTCCAGCAGTTTTGTTATTTTTATAATCATCCCTTTGACATTTTTCACCTTTTTGGTATCTCACATTGAATCCTGGGAACTTTTTCTTATCTGCAGGGAAAAAAATAATACATACACACCCTTTAGGGAAAAAAATAATACACATACACACCCAACTTCCCAAAATATTAGCCTTCGATCTAAAACTGGTTTTCTTTCACACATTTTCCTTATGTATCTTGGCACCTTCCCTGTTATTCAATTCGTGTCAGATACTCAGGGTGTTGATGGGAGAGCGCTGGTTTCTAAGGTAACCACAGACAGGAAGGCAACAAGCTTGGGAGACTCAAGTGCATACCTGGGAGGTGACCTCTCAGACAATACAGACCTCCGCTCAGTGGGAGCTAAGGTGGGAGGCCCCTTCTCCAGGAAGTGCCTTGAGATCCTCAGACGTCACGAGGGGGCAAATTTCTGGGGGTAATATCTCAGGGACACGTAGAGGGGAGACAAAGAATTGAGAGCGCTACAGTAAGATCTGCTGGTGACTGCACCACGGGAAAAAGAACTCTCTGGAGGGCTGAAGAGTTAAACCACTGACTTCTCCTTCCAGTCCCACTGGCCCGTTTCTCCTCCGTAAGCCCTGTACCTCTTCATCTTCCTGAGAAGTTTCTGCCTGTGCATTGTTCTTTGGTTCTGTCTCTTCCCCCAGCATCTGACACAGCACCTGTAACATAGAGGCAGTGTTGTTGACAGCTAAGCACAGACTCTGCGGCCAGACTGCCTGGACTGCCAGCTCCGTGACCCTAAGCAAGTTACCGGACCTCTGGGCCTCTGTTTCCCACTGAAAATGGGGCTAATAATAACTACCTCCAAAGGTTGATGAGATGAGCTAATGACTAATACTCGGTTTGTTTAGAACAGTATTTACAAAGGAAGTACTATATATGCATGTTTTGGGTATTATACAGGCATAACTCAGAGACATTGCAGGTTCAATTCCAGAACATTGCACTAAAGTGAATCCTATATAATAAAACCCTACTATGCAAATAGACCAGTCGAACGACTGGTCGCTATGACGCGCACTAACCACCAGGGGCAAGATGCTCAATGCAGGAAGCTGGGCTCAGCTAGAAGCGGGGCTCACAGTTGGCGAGTGCAGCAGCAGTGGCGGGGGGCCTCTCTCCTATCTCTGCTGCAGGCAGGTGTTAAGGAGCGAGGGGTCCCAGACTGCGGGAGCCCCAGACTGTGAGAGGACACAGGCTGGGCTGAGGAGCCCCCTCCAGTGCACAAATTTCGTGCACTGGGTCTTCTGTATAACAATAAAGTGAGTCACATTAATTTTGTGGCTTCCCAGTGCACATAAAAATTTATGTTTATACTATACTGTAGTCTATGTGTGCAATATAGCATTATGTCTGAAAAAGCAATGTACACCCCTGGCTGTTTTTGCTCAGTGGTTACGAGTATCAGCCTGTGAACTGGACCAAAGGTTGCATGTTTCATTCCTGGTCAGGAGCACGTACCTCAGTTGCAGGTTTCCTAGCCCCGGTGGCACATGTGGGAGGCAACCAATCAATGTGGCTCCACTCTCTCTAGAAGTGGATGGAGCAAATAGCCTTGTGTGAGGATTTAAAAAATAAATTAAGAAAATTAAAAGGCCATGTACATAAAATATTTTATGGCTTAAAAATGGTAACCATCACCTGAGCCTTTAGCACGTCATGATCTTTTTGCTGGTGGAGGATTTTGCCCTGAATTTGTAAAGAAATAAAAATTAAAAATGCAGTATTGAGAAGAATGGCAGCATCAGAGATCTCCTCGGTTTCTCCCCCTGAAACACCAACCAGTTAATCAACTATAACTCAACAAAGGATCTCCTGCCCCCACAGAGAAGCACACCCGAGAGATCCGCACATTGAAGCATCCAAAAGTGGGCAACTGGGAATAAATGGGGAGGTAAGACGGGAGGAGAGCCCAGGTGGCCATGGATGCAGCCCTGGAAAAGAGAGGAAGCCGGTGGCAGCAGGCGCCTCTGTGGGCTGGGAGAAACAGAGAGTTTCAGTGGGCTCTCCAGCATTGCGAATGGTGCCAACAGCTGCTGAGCACAGAACAGGGGCTCTGCCGTGGCTGTCCACTGTTGGGCAGTTGTGTTTCAGACGAAGAAATGGAGCCACAGAGCCCTGCCGCCCCTTGGAGAGCCCACTGAGGCTCCCTTCCAGTTGCCTTTGGTGTTGGGTCAAGGAGTACATTATCTGGAGACAAAGAACTATCGCAGTAGAATCACTGCTTTCCCTCCGTGGTTGATGCCCAGGTGGGGCACACTGGGAGCACCCCCTGGAAGTCCCGGGGTCGCCATTATGGTGAGGGCAAAACAAATCCCATCCCAAAGCAGCTGTACTGTCTGACAGAAGCTGAGGAGGGCAGCTTTGGGAGGTCACAGAGTAAAAATCTTGTGGTTCAGTGCCACCTACTGGAAAACAGTAGAAAGACCTTTTCACAGAAAGCTGGAGAAAGGTCAGTAATAAAACAGATGCAGAGACAAAGGAGACCAGCAAATACCATGAATATCCACGATAATGAGGAAACTCAGAAAGAAAATGAAAGATCTCCAGAAAGCAAGCTGGGGCACATGGAAATATGTGATATATATATATATGACAGAGAGTTCAAGATTGCAGATCTGAAAATACTCAATGAGATGTGAGAAAATATAGACAGGCAGGTCAATGTACTCAGAAAACAAATTAATGAACAAAGTGAGTACTTTAACAATGAGATTGAGACTTTTTATAAGAACCAATCAGAAATCCTAGAAAGGAAGCATGCAATTAAGGAGATTAGGAGCAAACTACTGAGTATAGGTAACAGAGCCGACCGGATGGAGAAAAGGATTAGTGACATCAAAGATAGGAATCTAGAAAAGACACAGAGAGAAAGAGAGAGAGACCAGAACATTAAAAAAAAAAAAGAGCTCTATGAGAACTATCTGACTTCATCAGAAAAAGCAATATAAGAATTATAGGCATACCAGCAGAAGAAGGGAAGGAGAAAGGCATGGAGAGCCTATTCAAACAAATAGTGGGTGAGAACTTCTCAAACCCATGAAAAGAGCTAGATCCTCAATTCCAAGAAGCAAACCAAACACCCAGATGCCTCAATCCAAAGAGGCCCTCTCCACAGCACACGGTATTAAAACTGTCAAAAATTAATGACAAAGAAAAAATTCTCAACGCAGCCAAGGAAAAGAAGGAAGTGACCTACAAAGGAAAACCCACCAGAATGTCAACCTACTTCTTGGCAGAAACTCTACACAAGCCAGAAGAGAGTGGAAGCAAATATTCAAATGACTGAAAGAGAGAAATTACCAGCCAAGAATAATATACCCAGCAACATTATTCTTTAACTATGAAGGAGATAAAAAGACTTTCCCACAGATACAAAAGCGGAGTGATTTTTATCAACAGAAAACCTCCACGCAGGAAATACTCAAGGGAGTTATTCTACCCGAAAGAGCATAAGGTCACAACACTACGAGTAAGATCACCAAAAACAGACAGCATAAACAGGGATGATTTGTGATGACAAAAACACAAAAGGGGAGGGGATAAATGCCTGAACTGGGAAATGAGGATGGAGATCAGATGTACTCAAAAGAAAAAAAAATACTACTGTATATATGCAACTTTAATTTTCAAAAACCTAAAAGTAACCACACACCCCCCCCACCCCCAAATTACGAAACATAGCTTTAAAAATGAGGAAACAGAGGGGGAAAAGTATGAAATACCACAAAACAAAAACAACAGACAGAAACACAAGGAAAGAACCGATGGATGCACAGAGCTATCAGAAAACAAAAGATAAAATGGCTATAGGAAATCCTCGGACAGCAATAATTACTCTAAATGTAAATTTGACTGAATTCATCAATAACGAGGCACAGAATAGCAGAGTGGTTCAAAAAACAAAATCTAACCTATGCTGCCTCCAGGAGACACATCTAAGCTGCAAAGACAAAGATAGGTTCAAAGTGAAAGGGTGGAAAATGAGTCTCCAAGCAAATACCACCCACCGAAAAGCAGGCGTAGCCATACTTATACCTGACGAAATAGAATTCAAGATAAAAAAGGTAACAAGAGACAAAAATGAATTTTTTAAAATATATTTTATTTGATTTTTTACAGAGAGGAAGGGAGAGGGATAGAGAGAGTCAGAAACATTGATGAGAGAGAAACATCGATCAGCTGCCTTCTGCACACTCCCTACTGGGTATGTGCCTGCAACCGAGGTACATGCCCTTGACCGGAATCAAACCTGGGACCACCGAGTCCGCAGGCCGACGCTCTATCTACTGAGCCAAACTGGTTAGGGCCAAAAATGAACATTTTATAATGATAAAAGTGATACTACATTAAGAAGACATAACAGCCGAAGCCGGTTTGGCTCAGTGGATAGAGCATCAGCCTGCGGACTGAAAGGTCCCAGGTTCGATTCCGGTCAAGGGCATGTACCTGGGTTGTGGGCACATCCCCAGTAGGAGATGTGCAGGAGGCAGCTGATCGATGTTTCTCTCTCATCGATGTGTCTAACTCTCTATCTCTCTCCCTTCTTCTCTGTAAAAAATCAATAAAATGTATTTTAAAAAAAAAAAAAGAAGAAGACATAACACTTCTTAATATATATGCACCTAATTAGGGAACAGCATGGTACTGCCCGGCTGGTGTGGCCCAGTGGTTGAACGTCAATGATTGTGTCTTAGCCTATCTCTCCCTCTAATTCTGTTAGTAGTTGCTTTATATATTTCGGTGTTTCTCTCTCTCTATCCTTCTCCCTTTCTCTCTCTCTAAAAGCAATAAAAGCATATTAAAAAACAAAGAAACAAAAAACAGAATGGGATTGGCAGAAAAACAGACATACATTGGAACAGAACTGAGAGCCCAGATGTAAAAACATATGTATATGGGCAGATTCTTTTCAACAAAGGAACCAGAAACACACAATGGAGTAAAGAAAGGCTCTTCAATAAATGGTGCTGGGAAAACTGGAAAGCCACATGCAAAAGAATGAAACTGGATTTGTCCCCATGTACAAAAATTAACTCAAAATGAATCAAAGACCTAAATATAAGATCTGAAACAATAAATTACATAGAAGAAAGCATAGGTACTAAACGTATGGACCTCGGTCATAGAGAATGTTTTATGAACTTGACCCCAAAGGCAAGGAAAGTCAAGGCAAAAATAAATGAATGGGACTATATCAAACTAAAAAGCTTCTGCACAGCAAAAGAAACCAACAACAAAACAAAGAGGCAGCCGACCAAATGGGAGATGATGTTTGCAAACAATAGCTCAGACAAAGGTTTAATATCCAAAATATATGGAGAACTCATAAAACTCAACATCAAACAAAGAATCCAATTGAAAAATGGGCAGAGGATTTGAACAGACACCTCTCCCAAGAAGACATACTAACAGCGGACAGATATATGAAAGGATTTTCAACCTCACTAGCAATTAGGGAAATGCAAATAAAAACTATAATGAGAAACCACCTCACACCTGCTAGAATAGCTATTACCAACAAGACAAGTAATAACCGGTGTTGGAGAGGTTGTGGAGAAAAGGGAGCCCTCATTCACTGCTGGTGGGAATGTAGATTGGGACATCCACTATGAAAAATGGTCTGGATATTCCTAAAAAAATTAAGAATAGAGTTACCATATGACCCAGCAATCCCTCTTCTAGGTATGTACTGAAAAACTAAAAAACATGTACTTGCAAACATATATGCGTCCCTATGTTCATTTCAGTATTGTTCACAGTGGCCAAGACATGGAGACAACAGAGGTGATGTTTAATAGAGGATTGGATTAAGATGTGGTACATAGCCCTAGCTGGTTTGGCTCAGTGGATAGAGCATCGGCCTGTTGACTGAAGGATCCTGGGTTTGATTCTGGTCAAGGGCACAGGCCCAGGTTATGGGCTAGATCCCCAATGGGTGGTGTGTAGGAGGCAGCCGATCAATGATTCTATTTCATCAGGGCTTAGGCCCAATCCCTGTGGCATCGGGCCTAAACTGGCAGTCAGACCTCCCTCTCACAATCCTGGATCGCTGGCTCCTAACTGCTCACCTGACTGCCTGCCTGATCCCCCCAACTGCCCCCCCTGCCAGCCTGGTTGCCTCATGCGACTTGCTGTTCAGTCATTTGGTTGTCCCTCACTAACCCTCCTGCTGGCCTGGTCGCCCCATGCAGCCTGCTGTTTGGTCGTCTGTCTGGTCATTTAGATCATGATGGCCTCTGGCTTTTTATATATTAGGATATATGTGTGTGTGTATATATAGATATATGATACATATAAATAATGGAATACTACTCAGCCATAAGAAGAGATGAAATACTGCCATTTGTGACAATATGGATGGACCTTGAGAATAATAGCTAAGTGAAATAAGTCAGGCAGAAAAATCTAAGAATCATATGTGGGATATAAAACGGAAACTCATGGACACAAACAGCAGTGTGGTGGTTGCCAAAGGGAAGAGGGTAGAGCAGTGTTCCTCAACCTTCTGGCCCTTTAAATACAGTTCCTCATGTTGTGACCCAACCATAAAATTATTTTCGTTGCTACTTCATAACTGTAATGTTGCTACTGTTATGAATCGTAATGTAAATATCTGATATGCAGGATGGTCTTAGGCGACCCCTGTGAAAGGGTCGTTTGACCGCCAAAGGGGTCGCGACCCACAGGTTGAGAACCGCTGGGGTAGAGGGTTGGGGATGATGGGGCCTAATGTATGGTGATGGAAAATGATTTAACTTTGGGTGGTGGGCACACAGTGCAATATACAAATCTTGTAACATAGAAATCCACATGATCCTATTAATCAATGTCAACCCAATAAATTTAGATAAAAAATAATTTAAAAAATTAGCCCTCACCAGTTTGGCTCAATGGATAGAGTGTCAGCCTGCGCCTGAAGAGTCACAGGTTCGATTCCCGTCAAGGGCACATTCCTGGGTTGCGGGCTCGATCCCTCACAGGGGGCGTGCAGGAGGTGGCCGATCAATGATTCCTTCTGTCATCATTGATATTTTTATCTCTCTCTCCCTCTCTGAAATAAATATATATTTAAAAATGCATGCCCTAGCCAGTGTGGCTCAGTGGATAGAGCGTCGGCCTGCGGACTGAAGGGTCCCAGGTTCGATTCTGGCCAAGGGCACATGCCCAAGTTGCAGGCTGGATCCCCAATGGGGGCCGTGCAGGAGGCAACCGATCAATGATTCTCTCTCATCGTTGATGTTTCTATCTCTCGCTACCTCTTCCTTCCTCTCTGAAATCAATAAAGAAATATATATTTAAAAAATAAAAATAAAAATGCAGTATCTGCGAAACACAATAAATCGGGGTGCAATAAAACAAAATATGCCTGTACTTCATATTAAAATTTTATTGGGAGCCCAACAGGTTGAATGAATAGAATATTCTGAGTGACAATAAAATAATGTCTGTAACACAGGCTTAATATCGGTTATTACAGCTACCTAGAAGCATTCTGGCGAAATCTAAATCAGCTAAAAAAATAAATCACAAAGCGTTCTCAGCCTTAGGACTAAACGATAATTAAGCAAGCTTTTCCATATCATTTTTCCAATTGATAAAAGTTAAAGAAGGTGAAGGATCTCCAAGAAAAAGGGGCACTATTCGTCCTGTGGTGACTTTGCTAGACCTATCCCCTAACTGCATGCCAGCAGGAGAATGACTAAATAACTGCAACCTGAAGTCCGTTTTTCTATAAAATACATGTGTTTGGGGCTGGGGATATTTACCCATGAATGAGAAGCTGCTTCTCTAGAATTCACAATGTGAACCATTCCCGTACCCCACTGCTGTCCCTCAGCTATTCAGTTATTCAGCTTCTAGATCTGTCTCAGCAAAAAAAAAGTTGACGATACCTGTTGTTTCTTTTACTTCTCACACTTAAAAATGAGGAGGTATGCATTCTATCAATGAATGGATTTCATGCAAATCACCTAAAATTCTTCTTTGCCATTGTTTCCTGAGTGTGAATGAACTTACCATAACAACTCATGACCAGAAGGACTAATGTCCTACCACAGGATGTTGGGCAGAGAAAAGGATGCATTTATGAAGAATTCTGTGGAAACAAGTTAAAAGGACTATGTCAATTCAAAATCACTTCTTAACATTTATCCTGGTTTTCCTGCCCAGCACTATAGTTTACAGAGGCCAGGCTTGATCTTAATTAATCCTTAGGTAACAAAGCTAGGAAAGCATACAGTCCAAAACAAATTCACTCAGTCCATTGGACTCCTTGTCTAGTGCTCTTTCCATTAACCAATAGCTGCTCCGAAATTCCTACAACGCGTAGTCTGTGTTGGGCACAATATAATCTCCTTTCCCCCTTAATTGCAAATTTGCAATGTGCTTACATAGCCAGCTAACTTCAGGGAACTCTATCCTGCTAAAGCCACCCCGTCCCCCTAGGCTTCCAAGAGGAGTGTACAAAGAAATGCACTCGTGTTCATGAGGAAAGTATTTAAGAATGCATTTACAATTGTATTTAACTATAGTAAAAACAATTACTTAAGCTTTATTAACACTGATTTTTAACATACAGACTGGCCTACCACTTTTACTGGGTCACTACTTTAGAAGCCATCTGTCTCATGCAATATGTGAGATTTTCCCAGGAACCAGTGGAAATGCCATGCACAATGCTTGTCCATCCACTGGACAAAATTAAGCCTAGTGATTGCTACAAACTTTACAGTTCTTAGTAAAGACAGGGAGAATGACCATGAAAAAAACCTTTGTTCTACAGAAACTCATTGGTTATCTCCTGGGGAAAGGCCTCAAAAGGGATATTGAGCATAGAGGAGATACACGTTTTTATTTTACAATGTTCTATGATTAGAAATGGCTGGCAAGAGTTTACCATCTACCACTTACTTTCAAAAACAAACCACAACAAAAATCTATGTAATCTGTGCCTTAAAGTGAAGATGACAGTCTATTAATGAGTGAGAAAGTCATTGCTTTTCTTTTTACTGAAGAATCGTTTATTGATTTTGAGAGAGAGAAAGGGAGAAGAGAGAAACATGGATAAGAGAGCGTCAGATCGGTAGGCTGCCTCCCGCAGGCCCCCCACCAAATCAACCAAGTGAAGGTCTCTTTCCCCAAAGTCGCTGGGTGTTAGAAGTCGGAAGGGCCCCCAAATGGGAGGAAGCCGTCAAAGAGCTCCTGACTCCCAGGAAGGGGGCCCGAGACAAATTAAAATATATATATATTTTTTTAATTTATTTCAGAGAGGAAGAGAGAGGGAGAGAAACATCAATGATGAGAGAGAATCACTGACCGGCTGCCTCCTGCACGCCCCCTACTGGGGACCGAGCCCACAACCCCGGAATGAGCCCTTGACCGGAATCGAACCGGGACCTTTCAGTCTGCAGGATGACGCTCTATCCACTGAACCAAACCGGCCAGGGCCGCACAAATTTTTGAAAAATAGGATGAAACTAGAGGTGGAGACAGGGTGAGCAGTGGCGGTGGGAGCGCAGGGTGATGCTGGTGAAGGCGAGGCAAGACCTGGAACGTGGGGAGCGGGCCTGGCAGCCGGCGGGAGCGGGACGAAGGC